GAGGTGTATCTAGGGAGTAGTGAAGAGTCTAGATCTGGACATGGGGAGTCTGAGAGGCCATGAATCAGGCTCTTCAAGTTGCCAGCTAGCAGACATCTAACTCCAGTTCAAGAGTTCTAGGAGGAGGGGGACAAACCCTCGTCTGGGACTCAAAGTCCTGGGCTCTAACCCCATGTGTCCACTTCCTCTCTTGGTGACTATGGACAAGCTACTTTGCGTCTCTAGGTTTCAGGCTTGCATCTTTGAAATGGGGCAGACCCAGAGGCAGCTCCCCCACTCATTTCTATCACCTGTAGCTCTGCGGGTAGAGACCACTGAGGGCTGGGAGAGGAACAGGCCTGAGGGAAACCACCCCCTGGGTGTGGGGCAAGGGTAGCAGATGGCCTAATCTTTATTTTCATTGTGAGAGCAGTTGCTAGAAGGTTGGGCTGGCTTCGCCTCCATCTCAGCCTATGCGGAGACCAGACCACAGGGTCTTTTCCCTAGGACCAGAACCCAAGGTCATTGGCAAATGATACATGAGGGTGGGCGGCTGGGCTTGGAGGGCAGAGCTGATCGGGAGAAGGGCTGCTTACAGCTCCAGGTGGTTCCAGCCCACCTCCAGCCCAGATGGACCTCAGCAGACATCAACACCTACCCAGCCAACCTCTCAAGAAAGATGAAAACAATGGACAGAAAGTTACAATGACAGCTGCAGCGGCTGCCAGATTGAACTGTATCAGGCTCTCCTCATCATCGCCTCATTAATCCTCCTGGGCTCCCCATGTCCCCTCTGAGGGAGGTGCTGTCACTCTCCTCATTTCACAGCCAGGAATCCTCTCAGGGTCTGTGAGGTTGAGGGAAATTCCCCAGAACCAAGTGCACAGCATACAATCCAGACTGGAGGGGAGGTTGGGGTAAAACCAGGGTGTTGGGGGTAGCTAGCCAGGATTAAACCTCCAGGAGTCTCTTCTTGAATCTCAGATATGGGAGCTCAGCCTGTGCACAATGGTGACCATTGCAATGACCCCTCGGGCAGCTGGCTGTGTGGCCTAAGCTGGGGAGGAAGGCCCATACCATGCAGTTGGGGTGGTGAGAACTCACTCACCATGAGAGGTTGTAGAGTTTCTGGCAAAGCTTGAACCTGTTTTATATTAAAACTGGTCTAACAGGTTGGTATGAGGGGACTGCCCAGGCCTGCACAGGCTCTAATTCTGGAGGAAAGGTCCTCGGCAAGATCCCCAGAATCCTCTCCTGCTTTCTTGGTCGGTACTTATTTCAAGCAACTGCCCCTGCACTTCACTGTGGGCAGCTCTGCAGGGTGGGAGCGCTCCCCTCTGAGAAAGCAAGCAGCCCGGCCCTGCCCTCAGCCCTATTCAGAATGGCATTCAGCTTTGGCCCAGCAAGGTTTGCTCAGTTGGCAGATAAAAAGCTGAGTCCAGGTACAGGGGCACTGATGATCCAGGGGGTGTTAGGACACTTGGTGATCATGAGAGAAAAATCCTAGCAAGACCTTACTGACAAGAGGAACCTGGATAACCTAGTGGTATCTCTGTTCCAAAGTCATTCCAGAAGGCTGAATCTAGTGAGGGGCACCATACAGAATCATTCTCCAAACCCACCTCCTTATGACCTGGTGGAATCCTCTGGGCTGCAGCCTCCACCCCCTGCCTCTGCCACCTCCTCCAGAAAGTGCTCCTGACCCCTTAACTTCCTTTCTGTGTACCCTCAGCACCCTGCAGTTGCTAAGGTGCCCCTGGGTGGCAGAGCAGAACAGTGGTCATACCAACAAGCTCCCGAATAAAGGTTTGAACCCTGGCTCTGCCTCTCACAGGCTTTGTGAACTTGAGAAAAAAACAGCACCTCTCTCTGAGCTTTACTTCTTCTGCTGTAAATGGGGACAACCTCTGCCGGTGTTCAAGGCTCGCCACGCAGGCCTGGGGCACAAACTCCGCCCTGGATCCCCAGGCTGCAGTCCTTGCCTCCTGCTCCCCACCACAACCTCCCCTGCCATAGCCTGTACCTCTCAGCTTCCTTTCCAGCTTGCTGTCCCGAGGCCCTGTCAGAGGCCATCCCCCACCCAGCTGACAGGTTTGCCCCTGAGAAATGAACATAGGGTCATAGCATTCCCCTGCTAAACTCTGAGGAGGCCCTCTACCACAGTAGAATAAAATTCACGTGCCCCCTCTGCTCTCTCCACCCTTCGTCTGTCTCCCCAGCCCTCCTGGACAGCCATTCTGGACTTCTTTGTCCTGATCGTACCAGGTTTATTCTTGCCTCAGGGCCTTGGCACTGGCAGTTCCTTCTCCCTGGATGTCTTTTTCTTATGTTGTCTGTATAGCCAGCTGCTGCTCTTTGCTCGGGTGTACCGGCTCAGTGGCCCCAGAGCTTTCCCTGCCCCTCTCATCTGCAGCAGTGTCCCCACATCCAAAGCCACTCTCTGCTCTGTCCCCTCTGCTTTGCTTTCTTTACACTCTTAAGACTTGTCCTGAGTGCCCATTTGCTCATTTATTTATTGTCTCTTGCTTACTAGCCCAGGAGCCCCATGAGGAGGGGGACTGTGTCTGTCTTGTGTCCCCAAGGCCCAGATGGGGTCTGGCCCAATTGGTGCCTGAGGAGCATGTGTGCTAGTAAAGGACTTAACCAATGGGGGGTTACCATCAGTTATTGTTTGTATATTGTGCAGGGTCCTACAAACCCAACCAGATGGCTCCTCTATTTCTCCCTTGCCAGTGCTGGCAGGGCATGCTCCCCTTACTAGCCCACAACCATCCGGCAGTGACTGCACTGACCAGAGGGTTTTCAGCATCTGTTAGGCTGGGTCTCTGACTTGGGTTTGGGCCTGATGACATGCCTTCTACTGTCCCTATGCTGGGCAGGCACCACTAACTCTCCTGATAGGGAGACAAGAAAAGATTTAAGCAGAAAATATACCATGTGTCAGAGGTACCTGGCAGCCCCTCCCCAGGCAAGAATGGACCCTGGCTTGAGTTGAAGTAAAGGTGAAGGGGACAGAACCCTGTTGACCAGATCAATGTCTGATCCAGAGACCCTAGCAGGCAGGGACATAGGGGGATAAAACCAGCATCTAAAATCAACTTGCCTGCAAGCTGCCAACTTCAGATGCCTGTCCTTGCTATCTCATGTAGCAGCCCAGGGACAGATGGGCAGGCAGGATCCCTCAAGGTAAGCTCTGCTCTGTACTTCACTTCCTCAGACAGGGCCTTGCCCCCTCTGGGCCTCAGTTTTCTTATCTATGGTGTATGGGTCATATTTAGACCCACTCACACGGTTGTGGTGAGCAGTACATGAGGTGTAAAGCCCTTGTCCATTGCCAGCATCTGTCAGGCACCAAGACACCTCCCCCCCTGAAGAGTTTATGGGCTTCTTCTTGCTATGGCAGTTTTCTGTCCAGGCCATAGTGGGGCCAAGTGGGGAACACCCTACCTTTGGCCCCTCTGTGTCTACTACTCACCCATTTGGTGACTCAGATTTGTGGGTGGAGCAGACAGAGGGGTTGCCTCAGGCCCTTTGGGACTTACAAAGGGGCTGAGATCCAGGCTGAAGCAATGAGGAACAGCAGACAACCCTGGCAGGGTCATGATGACCTGGAGGAGGCGTGCTGCCGGACTCTGTGGCCAGCCACAGATAATGTGCCAGGCTGGGCACCTGGGCCTGGGCACTAGTCCCAGTAAAGTCAGCCTTCGCTCACCTCTTATTCACTCACATCCAGTATCAGCTCTATTCTTTGCCATAACTATCTCCATGCCCATAATGTTCTGGCTTTTTATCCCTTCCTGCCTCTTCCTTGTCATCAACATACCAGTCTTTATACCTTCCTGCTTTCAATCTGCCAGCATTTGTCTCTTCTAATCACCTAAGGCCCAAGAAAACAGGAAAGTTAGCACTATTTCTTTCTTTCTTTCTTTCTTTCTTTCTTTCTTTCTTTCTTTCTTTCTTTCTTTCTTTCTTTCTTTCTTTTAATGTTTTTATTTATTTCTGAGAGAGAGAGACAGCGTGGACAGGAGAGGGTCAGAGAGGGCAGGGAGATACAGAATCTGAAGCAGGCTCTAGGCTTGGAGCTAGCTGTTAGCACAGAGCCTGATGCGGGGCTCCAACCCATGAACCGTGAAATCATGACCTGAACCGAAGTCAGATGCTTAACCGAATGAGCCACCCAGGTGCCCTGGTCTATTTCTAAAACAAGAGTTAGAAGGCTATGAATGAGTTTCAGAGGAGCTTTCCTGTGAGTTATTCAAGTGAAGCTGCAGTGAAATTTATATTACGAAGTCAGACCATCAGATAATGGAGAGTTTTCATTTTAATTGCTCTTCCATCTACTTCTGGTATGTAGGACCCTGAGTGAGAGGAAAGGGTCCCCCAACCCCAATTGGCCTGTGCCAGAACCTCACCAGGTCCTACCTCAGGCCAGACCCTGCCAGCTTACTGGCCGCCATCCCCAACTCCACTGTTCTGCCCCACTGCATAGCGTGACTCTTCCCCAGGCCTCCTTGCTGCTGGTAGGGAATATGAGCTTCCCAGTCACGCTCTGGTGCCCTTGCACTCCCTGTACTTTCTCACTGGAACGACTGGCCCTGATTTCTCTGTTGGCCTCCTCCTCTCAAAAGACACTGCCCCCAGGAGTGGGTGCCCCCACAGCACCCATCTCCCAGCATTCTCCACTTCCAGTCTTTAATTGACATCTCCTGTTTACACATCTCTCTGGTCTGGCACTCCTCTGCGACCATCCCCCATCTGGCAGGAACCTGGTCAATGACCCTGCAGGCAATACAGCTGGCCTTTACCTCCTGCCTCCCATCCTCCAAGGGGAGCAAGAGGTAACAAGAAAGGAAGGCTGCTCTCTGTACCTCCGAGCCCCTGACTCTTCAATGGGTCCCCTAGCAGGGCTTGCTCGGCCACATAATGTCACTGGGCCCCCGCTGACCCAGATATAAAGTGGGGGAAAATAATATCAAAGGGGACAAATTGTGTGTAAAAACTCAAAAGAGGTCCCACTGAGGTCTTCTTAAATGAAAAGTACAATTTTATTGTCAATACAGAAAAATCAGTGGAAGAATAAAGACTACCAAACTGGGTTTTACTTATTATAATACTTATTTTTATCAATAGGTATTTCTTTCCCTCTCGTGTGCAGGCACCTTCCTGGGCAGGAAGCCGACCCAGCAGAGCTGGAGTAGCAGCCCTTGAGCCAGCATGCCGCTTCCTGACACCGCACACGTGCTCGCTCAGGCAGGTGCCACACCGAGACCAGCTCTGTGCAGACAGGGTTCTGCCCTGCGAGGGGGTGAGTGGCGGGCTCTGCTGGGCACTGACACTTTGGCTTCATTTTCTTGTCCATTTACCTACCCTCCCAAAACAGAGCTGGGGGCCAGAAGAAGGTGCGCACATTCACAGGTGGGTGGGTTAGCGCCAGGATACCCAGAACTGCCTTGGGTCCAGCAACATGTCTCAGGATGAGGCTCTCCACCAGGAGGAACCAGAAGTTGGGCAGAGCTGGGGTCTCCAGAGCACTCAGGGCTCAGGGCAGAGAGGTGGGACTGGCTCACCTTGAGCCCAATGCATGGAGAATAAATAAATAAATACTGTATAACTTTGCAGTCCCTCAGCCTGGCCTGTTCCCTCCTCAAGGGACTGTCATTGTCAACCTCAGTTCCTCTTGCTGCCATCCTCCCTGAGACAGGCTGGCTGGAAGGAGGGGCCTGCCCCACCCTGTGTACTGAGAAACCAGGGCCGGCAAAGTGTACACAGTTCAGGAGCCCACAGTGTCAAATGGGGGCCTGGGCCTCACCCACAAGGTGAGACAAGGTCCCGCCTGTCTCCCTCTCTCCTGACACGTGGCTCACCACAACGGAGCCACATGGGAACTGGGGGTGTTGACCTTTAAGTTGTGTGACATTTTTCTCTCCCTCTCACCCCCAGGCTTGCTCCTGCTGATTCTCCCTGGTCCAGCTGTCATGTGCTTGCAGTCACCAGGATAACTGGAGGAGGGACGACGGGAGCCCAAGTCCAGCTGGGGCCTGTGTCCCCTCCAGGGTATGGCTGGGTGAGGCGAGAGAGATACTCAGATGGGTCAGAGCTGGAATGGGTACTGTCGGAGGTAGTCAGCCATGCGCCGGGGCAGTGGCAGGCAGTCTACATCAGCCACCAGACGGTTGATGACAAGGCGGCACAGGTGCTGCAGGCTGCGGGCGCTGCTTCTGCGCACAAAGGGCTGCACCAATTTTAGGTGCACGGCAGTGACTGCAGGGGCAGGCAGTGCTGGTTCACCAGGCGCATCTTCCTTAGGGGTAGGCAGGGCCGGGGTAGGTGCAGAGTCAGGGTTGTCACTTCGAGTGTCAGCAGCACAGGAGGCCACATAGTGCTGCACGAGGCTGACCACGTCTGGGAAGGCCAGGATGCGTGGCCTGGACAGGCAGTTGGAGTCCAGGCGGAAGCTGGAGTCGGCGTACTCAATGCGCACATTGGTGGGGCCTCGGGTGGTTTTGACCGACAAAGTGAATAGGTAGCTGGGGTGGGTGCTGTCACGTACTAGGAACGTGCCCTCTGGCATCTTCTGCAGGTGTTGTCGGGCTTCACTGGCCGTAATGGAACCCCAATACCAGCCTAGGCAAGTAGAGAGGGGGCCAAGAGACTAGTCACAGTGGAATTTAGTTGGGGGCACCAATACAGGGCAGGGCAGGGCTCTGCCTCCCCCTTTACACTTCCATGGGGAGGACTGTACCTACCCCATCAGAGTCTCCTGGGTAGGGTCATGTCTCTCAAATGAGACTCAACAGACAGAGCTAAGCTTTCCCCACTGGACTTCCCAGGACAAGGCCTGCTTCCCTCTTTGAACTCACCAGATTCCCGAAGGTAAGAGAAGGTCTTGGCTATGCATAGCAGATCCTCCTCAGGGTCCAGCACCTTGGGTTCACTCTCTGGCTGGGCTGGGGTCTCCTCTGCCACTTCCTCCAGGAAGGACCCGGCAGGCAAAGGCTGCATAGCTGGTTCGGGCAGCTCCAGGGACTGGGTCCACAGGGGCTGCTGCCCGATCCGCTCCACAGCCAGCAAAGAACAAGGTCTAGAAGGGGGTGGATGGGCAGTGAGTGAAGGCCCTATGCTCTCCCTATTACCAGAGACCGCCTATACCCCAGACCAGCTATATGACCTCTGGCCAGTCTATCTTACTATGAGCCTCAGTTTCCCCTCTGCCCACTCATGGGCTCAATGAGATCAGTATCCCACCTTCCAGTTGTCATCACAAAGGCTCCTTGATTGTTGGGAGCCGCTTTCTGAACTCGTAGGTTGAGTAAGAACTCCTTATGAGGTTAAGGTTAAGTTCCATGGACTCTTACCGTCAGATGGTGACCCAATATCCACCCCCACCCAATTATTTCGGCTACTGACCCCCCCAAGTCACCTTGTTAATTGGTATTAGAAGTGACTCATTCTGGCTTTGATATGCTGATTGCACTTTGGGAAGGAACTTACTAAAGAAACTTCTTTTGTGGTTATGGGAGCAAGATTGCATTCCTGAAAGACCTGTTTTTCTTATTACTTCCCATTAAGCCATGAGCATAACTTTTGCCTTTACTATGCTACTGCCACCTCTGGGCTGTTCCTCATCCTTTTGCATATCAATGTTCTGGAAAGTTTTTACTGATAAAAGGAATTATCAGAATGCCACTTCTGTGACATCCCCCAAACACTAAATCATAAAATAAAGTTGAGTCTCAGACAGTGTGGAGAGGCCTGGCTGGTGACCAGAAAGAATCTCGTGCCTCTCTCATCCCTCCCCGCCGACACCGTCCATCATACAGGGACCCCTGGACCCGGCCAGAGCGGGACTCTGGCACTTGATGGCTTCCCCTACATGCTGATTCTCTTTTGAAACAGACTTCTCTACCCTCCTGCATTTATTGAACATTAATTAGTCTATTTCATACCAAGTGACATCACAGATCATGTCCTATAGGATTTCTAGCTCACAATGGACAACTGATGTCCCTGCCAATGGTAGGATCCAGTGCAAAGAAGCCTCACATTGGTGCCTTCTTGGTTGAGGTGGGCTGATTAGATTAAATGGTGCTGGTTCTGCTTGAGCCATGGCCTGGGACTTCATGGGGTGCTCCAGAGAGGCTCCAAAATTATGATAGGATACCTAAAGTCATATGCTACCTCCCCATGGTTAGGAGTATCTGTCAAAGGGACCAAGGTCCACACTGGCCAGGGCTTAGAGGCTGGAGCAATCTCCCCAAACAGGTCAGACTCCCATCTTGTTTTCTACACCTCCCAGTTGAGGATCTGGGGTGGACAGTGGCCTCTAAAGACACCAGGAAGTCCCACCTCCCATAAACAGGAGCTCCCACCAAAGGGCATGGTATTCATTCTACATTCCAGATCATACCCTGGCAAGCCAGTCCTATGAGGCCCTATGATCTTATCCAAACCTTGCTGTTCAACTAGGACTGTTCAACTTCTCTACCCCCTAATGAGGGATGCTACCAGCCCAGATCCTGAGGGAGTTGGCTACACCATCTTGTTAGGTGACTAGAGTTGGGTTGCTGAGCCAGCCCTAATCTGAGCAGTAGCTTTTCTCCAGGGGAAGGCCATCCAGCATCGTGACCTGGGACTTCCAGGGAGTGAAGGTCATGGCCCTGGCTCCCAGGAAGAGACTGCTGATCCTTCCTCATTCCTCAGAAAATACATTCTCAAGACCTCAGTTCTGGTCTGGTCCCCTGCTGGGCCCCAGGACACCAAGATAATAAAGCCATGGGCCTTACTTTCAAGGAGAACTTATAACCTACAGTCATAAATGCAAAGGGTGCCATGGGGGAGTCAAGGTCTGCCTGTTCCTGAGCTGAATCTGCCAGGCCAAAAGGAGTAGGGGGAAGGCACTCCAGGCAGAGATGAGAGCATGGGTAAACTGTGCCAGAGATTGCTTATGAGGCAGCACAAGGTAGGCAGGAGCCTTGGCAGGATGCAGGCGGAAGAGCCAGATCTGACAGTATAAGTTATAGGTGAGCATTAGAAGATTTTAACAAATTGGGAGCAGAGGCCACAAGACCCTGGCACACCACAGTTTGTTTAATACTTTTCTATATCCACTCTGGGTGCACTGTAGAGTTCTGGAATCCTACTGGGGGAGCTGGAGGCCAAGTTCCAAGGAACTAGCTGGTGGCCTGCCTGCTGGGGCCCAAAGCTCAGCTCAGGCTAGCCAGTCAGGCCAGAGTGTCTGGGGGTAGCCATGTCCAGACAGCTTAGCAGGGCACTGTGGGCGTGGGCACCTCTAGGGTCAACATGGTATCTGGGTGTGTAAGCAGCTGTATTGGTCCCCGCAAGTCCTGGTGAGTGACTGTGTATCTGAGGAGGGGTGTGTCCACAGCTGTCGTCATGGTGGGGGTGATGGCTTGTGCGTTCCAGGTGTGGGTGGCCTGTACCTGTGTGTGCCTGTTGTTCCTGTTGTGGAGCCCAGGCTGTGAGTCCCTCCTGGGGACACATGCTAGTGGGACAAACTCAGTCCTGAGGGTGGACCCCCTCAAGCAAAGCTGGCAGCCCAAACCTATATTTGGGAATCTCTGCCTCCACCCCAGGAGGGCACCAGCTGGTTTGTGGCTGTGTGTGGAGGTCTTAGAAATCTTGCTCCCTGAGGGGCGTCTGGGTGGCTCAGTTGGTTAAGCGTCCGACTTCGGCTCAGGTCATGGTCTCACGGTTTGTGGGTTCGAGCCCTACGTCAGGCTCTGTGCTGACAGCCAGCTCAGAGCCTGGAGCCTGCTTCAGATTCTGTATCTCCCTCTCTTTCTGACCCTCCTCTGCTCACGCTGTCTCTTTCTCTCTCTCTTTCAGAAATAAATAAAACATTAAAGAAAAAAAAATCTTGCTCCCTGACACCCAACACTGGCCCTGAGGTTCCAAAGGGCCTTTAGCTGGAACAAAGTAAAAAGAGAATGTGGGACTTCAGAACTGGGGGGATCTGGAGGATAGGGTGTGGTGGTGTTCAGGAGTCCCAAAATTCAGAGGAGGGAGATGCTAGAGACAGCCAGGGAGAAGTATGGTAGTACAGTCTTCCTGGCACCTCCAGGTTTCTTCCCTGGAAGCAGAACTGCTCAGAGCAAGGGGCACTTCAGCCTTGCCCCACCTTACACCCTTCTTCACTTGGTACTATGCCAGTTCTGATAACAACAGCCACTGGGCCACCCAGCTCTCCCTGGGTGTGGAGTGCTCACTCATATCTTCTTTCTCACTCCCTGGAGCGTTCTGAGCTCCGGTCAGATCAGTCTGGAGAGTATCAGACCCATTGTTGAAGGGGATGCTGAGGCGGAAGGAATGCACTAAGAATGTTCAATTGAGGCCAAGACTGTCTTATCAGCCTCCACACCATTCTAGTCTTTGAGGAAAGTTGGAGAAGGGAGGCAGGAGCCAAGTCCTCACACCGGGATCTCAGACTGGGCTGAGGAGGGGCAAGGCAATTGTGGGGGTGCCACAGCAAAATCAGGCCAAATTCAGTCTCTTCCAAGATCTGCTGGTCAGCAGGTGCCAACCTGAGGGGGAGGCAAGGATCTCAGACTGGCTTCCCAAGAAAAGCCTAATTGCTAGCCCATGGCAGAACAGTGAGGACAAAGAGGGGCAGGGGCTAACCTCAGGTCACTAGTAGGCCCTGAGGCCTGCAGGTGGGGGCAGAGGGCTCTGGGCCCAGAAGGGTGTCTGGGCAGGTGAGCCACGTCTTGGAGTACGAACTCCGCTGTCGTTCAGCTGCTTTAGCCAGAACCAAGGCTTAAGCTACCCGGCGTCCTCCGGTCGTCAGCCGACCCCCAGTTTCACTACCCACAGTGCGCATAGGGGTGGTGACGGTGTTGTCACCATTCCTTGTTGTCACCCTGAGGTCCTTCCGCACTCGGTCATCTCCGACCCGTCAAACCCTCTCAATAGCCGGCAGCTAGCACGAGGCAGTACTCTCCCCAACGCCGGGCGCCGTGGCCCGGCGGGGACGGCGAGCCGCGCTTACCCCTGAACGCAGAGGACCATGTCCCGGCAGCGGCAGCGGCAGCTCCGGAGCTGGGGCTCAGCCGGACGGCGGCGGCTGGAGGGAGCCAGTGGGCGTAGGTCTCGCTCCTAAGGCAGGCTCCCGGGTCGCACCGGCGGCAGGCTAGGACTGAGAGGCCAAGGCACGGGCGGGCCGGGAGGGCGCGAGGGGCGGGCCGGGAGGGTGGGGCGGGGCGAGCTGCCTAATCTTTTGTCCTCTGTGTCCCAGCCCTTCCCGGAAGCGACGTCTTCCTAGAACCGCCGGCAGTGCTGTGGGGCCGGGAAGGGGCGCGGGCGGGGGCGCAGGCTCACAGTGTAGGCTGAGGGCCGCTAAAGGAAACACCTTTGACAGATTTCCAAGAACTTTCCAGGAAAATGGGGCGGGGACCCACGCGCTGACCAATCGCAGTTCGGGAGGCGGAGCCGAATGGCCGGGGAGAGCCAATTGCAGTTTTGAGATCCGAGGCCGACAAACGAGCCGGGTGGAGCGTGACCTAGAGACCACTAGGGAAAAACCGGGTTGGAGAAGGCCAGGGCGGGGCAGGGGTTCTCCCCACCCGAGCCCAGACTTCTTTCCGGCATTCCGCTTCGTTCGGGACAGGCCCCAGTATCTCGCTGTAGAATTGGTGGCAGCGCAAGGGCAGGGCTTTGAGACTGCCCTCCCGGCTAGCGGCTCCCTCAAGGCAGTCTGTCTGGTGTGCAAGCGCCCCCTGTGGGACTCACGTGGATCCCCGGACTCTGTGTGCGGTGGTGGGGAAACTGGTGGCATGGGGTGGGGTTTGGAGAAGGACATGAGAGGAGGGGAGGGGGACAGAGGAGGGCCTCAGATCCGAGCAGGTGCGCGGGGGTCAAACATCCACCACAGTCAAAAGGATCCAGGCCAGAAGGTTTTCTCTGAAAGAGTTGGGGGAGAAGGCACATCCCAATCTTGGGATGGGGGCAGGTGTGGAGACCTCATTACTCACTTGATGACCCACAGCATGGGACACCTATGTAGGGTGCAGTCTCTTCGGTAGAAACTGTCTACCACTTAATTATTATGAAGACAAAGAGGCTTCAAGCTGCCGAGCAACAGAACTAGGATTTGAACCTGGGTACCTGGGTCTCTATGGGGTCAAATCCCAAGTTCTCTACCTCAAGACTCTGTCCTCCCTCTACCTGTGAGTACTTTACTGAACACTTAGTATGTGCCAGGTGCTCTCAGCGATTTCCAGCCTCATTTTATCACCTAACCACTATATATTGTGCCCTCTTTACAGTTGAGGAGATTGATGCACAGAGAAGTTAAAATGTACCCTAAATCTCACTGCTGGCAAGTGGTAAGTTGGGGCTTGGAGCACAGTTCCCCCCAACCCCCATCCTCTCTAGGTGCCTGACCTAACAACTTCTGGGCATCCTTCAAGATCCAGCTTTAAGGTCCTCAGTGAATCTTCCCTGCCTCCAGGCTAGTCAATGTGAGAGCACGGAGGGTGTCCCCTTGAAAGCTCCCTTACAGATGTTAGTGATTATACAGTTCTGTGTGTTAAATTAAAAGGCCCCAAGGGTTTTTCCCTCTAGTCACATTTTGTGAATTTGACAGAATTATGCACCTCACTTGTATGTACAGTATGTAGTGTGCCCCTGCTTTGCCCCAGGTGTTGTGGGTCCCCCTGGCCAACTCATTATCATCTCTCCTGCTCTGTCTGCTCCCTACACACCTGCTCTGACTACTAGGCCCACATCGCCACCCAGTGGCGGGTCCTCTCATGGTTTCACTCGACAAATTTCCATACTCCAGGATAACCCTTCCTGGCACTCCAGGGATTGGCCTTGCAGCAGGATCTCCCTGCTTCGTCCCACCCAGAATAGTCACAAGATAGGCCAGTCACAATAATATACAGCAGTGCCTTCTTCAGAGTCTGGCTTATTTGGTCTCTCTATTCTCATCATTTGCAGCCTCTCCTCCCCCGTAGGACGGTTCACACGTGTATGTGTGTAGGGGGTATATTTAGCTCTCTCCCTCTCTCCCCACACTCACTGGGCCTCTTTGCCACTGTAAGCTATTCCAAAGGCCTCGGACCTAGACCCGTTGGACATTCAGCTATCATGGAGGGCTGTGTGTATCAGTCTGCCACCATGAACCCATCCTTGCCCTCGCCCACCCATCCCAAATACTGAATTCAGTGTGCAGGTGGTCGCTGGAGAAGGAGCAGCTAAGGGAAACCACAGGTTCTGACTCTCTTAGGTTAGATGAGCAGTTGCAAAACATCTGTCTGTGATGGACGTATGCGGGAAACGTGTGTGCTTTTGTAAGCATTGGCATTGATTATGGAGACTGCAAGGGGAGAGGCATCACCAGTGCTTGCTTTTTACATTTCCCTATGGTTTGAATTTATTATAACAAATAAGTTTTACTTATACAATTAAACTTTTAATTAAAAAAAGATCAGTTAAAAAAACAATTATAAAATGTTTAGAACAGTGTAATCTAATTCTATTTTTAGAAAATAAGATATCTCAGCAACCACAATGTACACTGAGATAACTTTGTTTTGTTTTTAAAATTTTTTTTTACTGTTTTATTTATTTCTGAGAGAGAGAGAGAGAGAAAGAGAGACAGTGTGAACAGGGGAGGGTCAGAGAGAGAGGGAGATACAGAATCTGAAGCAGGCTCCAGGCTCTGAGCTAGCTGTCAGCATAGAGTCCGACGTGGGACTCGAACCCACGAACCGTGAGATCATGACCTGAGCCGAAGTCAGACGCTCATTGACTGAGCCACCCAGGTGCCCCGACATACACTGAGATAACTTTGGCTTTGACAAGAAGCCACTCTCAGCTGTCCAGAACTTTGCTTTTGAGTGGCACCCTGCTTGTCCAGAATGAGACCTTGCTCTGCTTTGGGCTCACCTGGCCTAAACCAGTCACCTCCAGAGGGAAGACCCTTCTCCAGTCTCCAAACTGCAGAAGTTTCCAGATCACAGGGCCTTCCTCCAAGGCTCTGAGATCTTGGATCATATTCTTAGGTGGGGCTCAGAGAGAGAGGTTCTGGGTCCAGCTAGGCATAAATGTGTGTATGTGTGTGGTGTGCATGTGCATTCCCATGTTGTCTGTGCACATCTGTAAGTCTTTGTGCATTTGTGTGCATATGTGAACATGTGTGAGAGCATATTTGTACATGTGGATGTGGGAAGGGGGCAGGGAGGCACAGAGGAGGAGAGCATTATTTGAGGGTAAGAGCTGGACCCTGGAGTTGTTCTTTGGGGGTTGGGATGGAGACTCTGCCATGACAGCTACTGATCTCAGGCAAGTTGCTTGATATCTAGGGCTTGTCTGTCTTGTGTGTCTGTCGTGTAGGCTGTGTGGGATGTGTTTAGCCCTGCCTACTCTGGTTCCAGTGAGGTCAGGGAGTGCCCAGGTAGAACACCCAGGCAGTGTCTAGTCCAAAGGAAGGGTTCAGTATAGTCAATTGAGACCATCATCAGGGCCACTGCTTCACTGAACTCTGTTAGCTTGAAGGCTGTCTCAAGGAGACAGGGCAGAGCCCTGGGCAATTTCCTACAACTCAGTGCCTGCACACAGTAGGTGCCAGCTCTCCAGGAACTGCTCTGAAGAGCCTTGGACCTGCAGGACCCCAGGAGCCCATGTGCATCTACATGCCTGTATTTGTGCTGGGGCATGGGGAGGCGGGTGAGAGCGCTAGCTCGCTTGGCCCAATCCCAAAGCCATAAGGGCTCAGAGACGCCTCCGGGTGGGACCTAGGCCACAGTGCCTGCAGTCCTGCCAGTGGCCTGCAGATGGCAGCAGAGGCCCACGTGGAGATCATGACCCAAGCCTCACTTTCCCAGTACCAAAGGAACCACCTTGTTCCAGTCCCTCAAGTCTGAGGGTTGGGGAATGTCGGGGGTGTGCTGGAGTAGTGCAGATTTCTCCCAGGAGAGAACAACACCTCCTGCGACTCTAGACAAGTTGTTTCCCCTTAGGGGTCCTCAGTTTCCTCATCTGTGAAATGAGTTGTTTAACAGCCTGTGATGGGAAAACTATCAAAATACCTAAGGTAGTCAAAAATGGGTTCAGAATAGATACCTAAACGTGGAAGGGAATACCACATAGCTAAAGAGTATCTTGGGGTGGGAGGAGGAGACTTTTTAAACAGGATACCAAAAGCCCAAACCAGAAGGTGAAAAGTTGATGAATCTGACAAGTTGATGAATCTGACAAATGGGATTTTAGGATATCTGGTCTAAGGACGCTTTATCCCAAAGGAAATCAACAAGCCACGGATATGAGCAGGAGATGCACCGAGGGCGAGAGACACCCAGGGATCGGATAAACGCAAATCACAGCGAATGGCTGATGGCAAAAATTAAGACTTTAGGTACGCTGGCGGTCCACCACTAAGGAAGTCGCAAGCCTTACAAGCTTTGCTGGAGGGCCGTCTGGCAGCGTGCAGAGAAAACGCCCGACTCAAGTGGCTTCCTGAGGCTCCAAGAGAAACAAGACTTCCTGCGCGGTCACTTCGTAGGTCGCTGGTAAACTCCGGAGCTCGCAAAGCCCTCACTGGCCCCAGGGCCCGGGGAGCCTAGGAGGTTTCCGCTCTCCTTCGAGAAGCCACACCCGCTATTTCCGTCTGGGCTCCGGGGCGGGGCCCGCCGGAGGCTTCCTCCACGCCCAGTCCTGCTAGGGCCCGCCTGGCCCTTTAAGGCTGACCAAACCCGGCCTCAAGTCGGGGACGCGCGGGGCGGGGGGGGAAAAGAAGGGGGACGGTCACGTGTGCCGCCGGCGGCGCGACTAGGCTCCAGGTGCTCGCGGCCGCGGGCTCCCGGGACCGCGGTCCCTGCCCCTCGCCGGCGCCGCAGCCAGGTACTCTGCTGTCAGATACGCCCTCGCCAGGTACGCCCTCATAGGGCCCCCTCCACTTTCCGCTCCCAGAACCTCGCGGCCACTCGGCGCCCGACCCTTTACCCTCTAGACAGGTGTCAGGCCGGACTCCTAGTCCCTGGTTGTGCGACCACCCGCCCTGGCTCGCGTCCGTACTCTCCGGCAATTCGTCCCGAACTCCCGGTCGCGTTCGCGGCCCGCAGCCCAGACGGGCTCTAGGGCTCTGATACTGTGGTGTATTGGAGAAGTCTGAGAGGAACTCATTCTTCCCTTCTCCCTCAGGTGGCCCTGGACGCGCCAGGCTGGGGTCGCCTCTCAGCGCCCCGCGGGGCCCATGGATGACGAGACAGCAGAGGAGCAGGGGGGGCCCGCGCCCCCGCAGGGTGCACCTGCCGGCTCAACTGGCGCTCCTGCCCTCGGGGGGCGGAGGGAACCCAAGAAGTATGCAGTGACCGATGACTACCAGTTGTCCAAGCAGGTGCTGGGCCTGGGTGTGAACGGCAAGGTGCTGGAGTGCTTCCACAGGCGTACTGGGCAGAAGTGTGCCCTGAAGGTCAGTGACCCCTCGTGGGTAACCCGGAGGGCCCAACAGCAGAGGCTTGTGGGTGCACATATGCCAAGGACCCCTACTAAGCTTCTTATGATCAGTATCTCTTTCATCCTTACACTACCCTGTAAGGTCAGACTCCTGATCCTCCTTACTTTACAGGTGGGAAAGTCGAGGCTCAGCCTAGCTAAGCTCAGCATGTCCCAGAGAGCAAGGGGTGGAGTCAGTATGAGTAGAGGCTGCTCTACCCGGAAGTAGGGAAAAAGTGGTTCCTGACTCTGGGGTTATGGCTGGGCCTCAGCTTGGTTGTTCCTTCCATGAGAAGCTCTTCTCTTTCTCCTCCCCACCCCCCCCCCCCCCCCCTTTTTTTTTTTTTTCATAAGAAGCTCTTCTGGCTGGAATGGATCTGAGTTTCTCTCTGCCTGAGGCTGAGTCTGCACCCAGGCTTGGAGAGGGGCTGCTTTCTCATGTGGCCCCTGTCTGCCTGGGCTGGAGTGGTGGGAGACTCCCAGGGCTGGCTGGTGGGCAAGGATGGTCCCCATCAAACCTGTGAGCCAGAGGCTGCTGATGGGCTCTAGCTGAGTTACAGGCCCTGTGTTGAAAGGGGCAGGCCCTGCTCCAAGCCTGACCCACCCTGGTTCCTGGGCAGAGGGTGGGCCAGCCATCTATCCATGTCACACCACAGCATCCCTGGAGGCCTGGCTAAGAACTCACTAATACAGATGGAATCCAGGGAGTTCTGGAGGTGGCTGATCTAGCCACATAGTTCTGGCTTAAGTCACTTAGTTCTGGGCCCAGGACGCTGCCTCATACCCAGAATGCCTCGAATCTGTTGTCACTGGGAACTTCACTCCATTGTGGTTTGTGCCAGTGGCCACCTCGATGGGTAGATGATGGCAAGGAAAACAGCTCCTGGACGTTAGAATCCAGCAAAGGATCTTATTTTTTGCAGACATTGCAATTATGAGCTTGAGTGCAGAGTTCTGTAGACATGGCTCTAATCTCTGGCCTGCATTTGCCAGCTCCATGACCTTGGACTAGGTCCTGGACTCTGGAAGCCAGGTTTCTGCCTCTGTTCTGGGGGAAAGATAAGGGGTTGATGTGAGCTTGGAATGTGATGACGCCTGTAGAGTTAGAGTAATTGGTACTGGGCCTGGTGCAGGCCTGGAGAGGCTACAGGTCTTATTTAGGATACAGTGTCTGCAAGTAACTGAGCAGGGACCTGGGCCCAACTCTCTGTGTCTTTCTTAGGGGCACTGGGGCTGATAGCCTAGGTCTGGAGGAAGCTCTGGGCTGGGCTGGCAAGGCTGAGTCTCAGGCACAGTTTATTCAGCTACTTAACCCAGCAGCATAGTGGGGTTGGAAGGCCCTCCTCTAAGTCCTTTAAGGGGGAAGTAGCTCTTCTCAGTGGGGAGTTTTTACCCCTTCCCTCAGCACCATCTTAGCTCTCACCTCTGCTGGGGTAAGGGGCAGTTTGGGTAGGCAAGGGGCCAACTGAGGCCAGAGGACCTCTTCTTAATACCAAGGCTTTGGCCCTATGACCCAAAGCTGAGCTCTGACGAGCCCCTATGGTGTTCCAGATGCTATGAACGAGGCAGGGATAGAGGGGGAGGCCAGAGATTGTGGGCTTAGACAGCATCAGCTTTAAGCAGAGCTGAGTCTAGGCCCTTCCCCATAGGTGCTGTGTTTGACAAGTGACTTGGGGGAACTTCTGACTGCAACAGTTTCCAAAGCAACTCTTCTTGAATCTAGAGCCTCAATGCTTTCCCTGTTCTGGACTGGGAACTAGGATGTGCCTAGAATAAATTCTCCTGCTGTGCCTCTTTAGGGTTTATGGATGAGTATGGCTAGGGCTACTGCCTTGGAACCTTCAGGACCTGGCCCTAAATTAATCCTCAAAGGGGACATGGATTAGATGTGGACCCCACTCCAAACACCTTCTTTTCTTGCCCCTAGTCCCTCTTCAGTGACCAGGTCTGGAAGTTTCTACAATCTGGCAGGTCTTTACCATCTTCCAACATGGCACTAGTACAACTTCTGGCACATCATACTCATAATGTGAGTGGTGGCTTTAGCTTTGAGGAAGAGGGTGGCATTTTTCTGCTTAGCCCCTGCTATCTCTGCCCTTCTTGGTGGTCCAAGCCTAGTGCTCCGGCCTCTCTCCATGCCTGTTCTCTTGGCCCTATTGTCCAAGATGGCAGATAATGCTTACCCTGAAGCCTGGAATGCAGCAGGCCCTCATCAAACAGGAAGAGTTGTGGTCATTGTCCCTGTAACTGTTGCTATTCTCTGGGGCCCTGGAGGAGCAGGCTCCTCCCCGGGGAGCTGGGCCTCTTCCCCTTTCCCTCAGCTCCTGACCACTGCCATGGTCCTTCTTGGCTTCACTTACATTCAGTTATTCCTTTTCAAGGCCAGCTTCTACTGCTGTCAAGTCCTTCCAGTCTCCAGTCTCCCCTAAGCACTTGCTGCAGTCCGGTTGGCAGTACCTAGAGGACTGCCCACCAAGCATGGAGGGCAAGGGACTGCCTCCTACTGACCTGCTTGGGCCTTCTTCTAGGCCTACTTGATGAACCAGTACGCCTCAGTTTCACTCCTAACGGGGCACAGCCCTGCATATCTGTCCCCCTTTAGTCACCCAACCACATTTGAGACACAGCCCTTCAATCCTTATCACATATGTGAAAATCGTGACCTGGAGTCTGCAGTCAGAAATCATGTAGCTTGATTGAGATGAGAGATTGTAGCAGAGGCCAGGCTCTCCTCCCCTCTTGACTTCCTGCCTAGCTCACTTGTGGTCCTCTGCCTCATGGCAGGCAGAAGTGACCATGGCACTTAGGTAAATTAAAGCAATAAAAAACTTTGAGAAGACAGAGGGGTTCTGCATATGGGAGAAGTGGAATCTTCTTTCCTGCTGCTGCTCTCTGGGGCTAGGGGCCCTCCTCTCTGACTGCTGAGTATGTTGGAGGTCCTGGGGCTCCCAGTGCCCTCCTCTTCCCTTCTTCTTCAAATAGAGTGGAGTGGTGGGGTGCTGGGTCCCCATGCTGGGGAGTTCCCCACATTGCTCCATGGGTGGGGCTGGCCTGTTGAAGCTGGTGCTGCGGAGCTGGATTTGAGGCTGGGTGGGGCTGCCAGGCGGGCCAGGTACTTTCTCATTTGGCAGCAGTCACCCCCTTACCTACCAACTCCAGACCGGTTGGATCAGCCTTGGTGGGGCCATTTGTTACCAAGTCAACAAGTCAGGAAGCGTGTGGAGGGGCCGACAGCCCTGTCCAACGGAGTCCCTGGTAGGAACCTTATGAACTGCAATTTGCTGTTTAAACAAAGATCCTAGGAAGGGCATCAAACCCTAAAACCTGCAGGTAGTGGAGTTTCGGGCAGAGATGGATTGTTTGAGCTGCTTCATATGTTTAGAAGTTGTGCTCAAAGCCTACACTGTGCTAGGACTGCCGGGGCTTTCCCGCCCTATCCAGGAGCTGACCCAGTCTTCAGGCCTTGCTGCTGCAGATTCTAATAGCCTCATAAATGGCCAACAGTTTTCCAGACCATTCTGTCTGACAGGTCCTATCCAATGCATGAGCCGTGTTATCTTACATAATTCTTGTCATTCCCATTGTATGGACAAAGTTGTTGCTATTCAGCAAGGTGAACAACTTGCCCAAGATGCACAGCTGATGAGTGGCAGGGCTGTGATGTGAGTCTAGGCAATTTGATGCCAGAGTCTTAGCATTTAAGTCACCTCTCATGCTAGTTTATGGGGACATGGGAGGGTCTCTAAGACTTGGCCCCTGGAAGGGTGCTGTTATACATCTTCCATGGCTCCATTGGAAGCCCTGATAGCCCCAGCTGGGTCCTAGGTGATGCTGCTGGTATTTGTCTAGATCTGCCCAGTTCTCCTCACTGTGCAGCACTGTCTACTTGTGAGCAGACAAGTGGTCCCACAGACCAGCACACAAGGTTCATGACGGCTGTGGGACTGCCTCAGAAAGGTTGTGTGGTTTGTCTCAAGCCTTTTGCGTCAGACGAGTGCAGCCTAGCAGGGTCCAGACTGCCACAGGCAGGAAGTCAGGTTGGTGAGTGGGCGAGAGGAAACTGTGTCAGGGCTGGGCCAGCCAGGGGAGACTTCCTGGAAGAGACCGCCAGCTTTAATCCAGGCCTCTGCTCTGAGGGCACAAGGTGTGTGTGACAGCATGCCTCTTTTGGACAGCTCAGCACCTTCTGTGGAGTACCACTTAACTACTCACAGTTATGTGTCCTGGTGGGACGTGGCTGATCTCAGCAGGGCAGGTGTTCAGACCCCAATAAACCCTGGGGAGCTGTAGAGGGACTATGAGGGCTCTGTGGAAGAAGGCCCTTGAAAAAAGGGTCCGCCACTTTCCCTCTCCATTTGCCCACAACCCAGATTCAGGCTTCACCCCAGTGGCCTCTGTCTTTGGTATCCTCCCTCACAAAGTGTGCAAAAATCCTCCCTCCTTCCTCCAGAGCTTTCTTGCATTACATCACCAGAACCATTGTAGAGCACTGTAGCTCAAGGTGCTTGAGGAGCTTCTGGGTCACCCGGACTGTCCTTCAGTCCAAGCTGTGTGGAAAGGGCCCAGTCTCTGTGACAACAGAGGTCTGTCATGTCTCTGCTGAGGTTTGCACGTGGGGAAGTTATTTCCCTATGTGGACCCCTCATCTTTCTCTCCAGGGCCTCCTTGGGATATCATCATGGGACATGCCTGTGAGTGGGCAGGTGGAGCATCTGGCTTTGCAGTCCCCCGACCTCCTTTGGTTCCGGCCTGGTGACTGGCTGCCATTGTCTGAAAGTGATGGTCACCAGGCAAGAGCTGAAGACCACAGTCAGCCCTAGGGGTGTCAGAGTGCACACCAAGCCCTCCTGCATGGGTGGGTCTGCTGCTCTTAGGATAATAAGGACATGGCTTTCACTGGCTCCCATGGTTTTCTAGAAGAATTTTGATTCTGCTGGTCTTTCTCCTGTCTGTTCAAGATCATATGTGTTCCCACAT